TTGTTTGTTTGCTTGTTTGTTTGTTTGCTTGTTTGCTTGTTTGTTTGAGGAAGAGCAGGAATAAGTGGATTACATGTACCTCAATCAGAAGACCGAAGAACTTTCGGAATGATGCATACCATTTGTTTTCTACCCAGCATTTCCAGTTTGTTTTTTCCCAGTTGTCTGACATATTTCTTTCTTTTCTCGCTGCAGATTTCTGCTGAGCAGCTTCTATCTTTCTTTTCTGCCTGTGGAGAAGTCAAGTTTATAAGACTCTTTGAAGAAGAATCTGAGGAAACAAAGTAAGAATGATAATCATAGAGCTCTAAAACTTTGGTGTAATGTTTTCCCATTTCAAACCACATGTTAGTGTCTCAAGAATGAGTTGTATCCATATTCATGTGTCGCAACCGCTAAATAAAGAAAATAAAGAAATTATACCCAAAGAATTGACATGTGGTCTTAAATGGGGAAACATGCACAAGAAAACGTTAACCTTGCTTGAAAAATGCAGGGTTCGTGCTACTCCTTGAATTTCATTCAAGTTTTCAAGTGCACTTGAAAAGCTCTTGAATTTTATGATTTTAGCGAAACTCCTTGAAAACTCCTTGAATTTTTGCTTTGATCATTACTTGCATGGTTCTGAAATAGATCTAGTCAGAAAGATTGGAGAATCTGAAAGTTGGCCATGTGCAACCACCGTGTAAAACCTTGGCATAGTTAGCTGAACATACTCCTTGAAAATTCATTTCTTGTATACTCCTTGCATAGTCCTTGAATTTTAAATGGTTACCTCAGCACGAACCCTAATAATGGAAAGTAAGAAAAATTTGGAGAGTGAAAGGAGAAAGAGAAGCATCATAGGGCATAAAGTATTAAAACAGATTGTACTTGAAATTTTGCTGATTGATTATTTTTGATCATTTTTGCAGGTGTGCCTACCTTGAGTTTACAGAGTCATCGTCTGTTCTCACAGCACTACAGTACAACAGTGTCTATTTTGGTGGCCGTCAACTCAAGTATGTCCAAGAACATTTCTATGTTTTAAATAATTTATGTTTGAAACACTTTATCAAGATATTGTCTTTGTTTTACAAGGGTTACTTACATTAGATATGATCCATTATTTGTTTGATTGCTCCACCCATTTTCAATGATAAACTCCAATTAACATTCCAACTGTAGTCTTTAGTATGCTGGCATTTTGGCTCCCTTTTAATCACATACACGTGGAATGCAATTATGAGTTGTTTTAGTCTTTAATACCAAATAATAATTATATTTTAATATGTTAACAAATTATTGCATGTTAAGAGCTTGATATCTTTTTATTCACTCRTTTTTCATATTATCATATCAATCACTCGCTTGCAGACTTCCTCGTTCGCAATATGATATGCAAACTCATAGATAAAAACAATATCAAGCTCTTAACATGTGATGATCTCTATATATTCTTAATACAATTATTTATTTTTTGTCATTAATTGATATAGCTATTTTATAGTTTCCCCAATTAGCTTACCGTTCTGTAGCTTTTAGCTAAATACCTTGACACTGAAATAAGGCTTATCTACAGCCAGTATCTATCATCTGTGCGTGCAACTCATCAATGAAAATTCTTGGAGTATTTATGCATAATCCGAAGTTCAGTGATTTTTCGTAGTAATGATTTATTTTATTCTCTCGCGCACTTGTGCTGTGTGCAGTTATAAAGCACACGGGGATAGGTAGAAGGCCGACATTTCTGGAGTTCTGCCAATCCCCAAGTGCTTTACAACTCCACACAGCACAGCACAGCAAGCAAGTTTTATATTTCTTTTATAGAATGCAAAGGGCGCGTGAGTGCTGTGTGTTCTCATAAATCACGCGCTCCCAACCAATCAGAATGCAATTTTCATAACAGTTATTTTATAGTGTGTCTATGTGAATAAATATATTACTTACTTACTTACTTACTTATTATATCAACAGAGTGAGTTATTCCAAGCATGCTATTGTCAAGCCAGCATCAAAGTATGACAAGGATAAAAACGACAGCGACAGAGGTTCAAGGAGAGGTGCGACTTTTCTTTTTTAAAGTTCCTCTCATTTCTAATTCAGGACCCTTAATAGACCTTATTCGTGGTGTGACAATGTTTTCCCAATTCAACGTGACAAACCTCTGGGGGAATGAAGAGCTATTGTTTTGAAACTCGTCGGGATATCATCGTTATCCTTTCGTATCCTTTGGGATACTCATGAATTTTTCGAAGAGTAAAAACAAAAGAAAATGAATCCTGGAGGTTTGTCACGCTGAATTGGGAAAACATTGTCACACCACGAATAAGGTCTATTCTTCGTTGAGTTGTGTCCATATATCCTATGATTTTATCAGACAATGAGCGTCTTTGTTGGCCCAGTAGGTTCAGTGCTAGCTTTTGCAGGAGGTCTTGGTCTTGTTCTGGGTCTTCGTCAAAAAAAAATTGAATAAGTGCTACCATTGCTCYAAAAATATTTGTCCATTAAACCTTCTCAGTGGCTCGGATGACCACATGAAATGGCGGTCCCATCTAGACCTTTAGCATCGTGTTTACCGCTAACCTGTAACCGCTAGGAACCAGGCGCCGAAAAACGCCCGCAAACACCGAGAAACRCTCGGCATCAATGAAATTTAATATGGCGGCTCTTCCAGCAACAACTTTGTTATGACACCTTGATAAATGTCCAAAGTTTGAAGGAAAACGCCTGACGTCGAAATGTAGTTTGGGGTTTGCGGGGCTAGCGAGAACGTTTAACAGTTGCCACTGTCATGTGTCACCCTCTCTAAATACAGTTTTTTTTATGTGTGAAATTTCTTAGTTGTTTTTTGATTAATGCAGATGTCGGTTTGTTTGCTTGTTTGTTTGTGTAGATCGCAGAAGTAGAAGCAGATCCCGTTCAAGGTCAAGAAAGAAAACAAAGTCACGGTAAGCCATAGATCCAATAAGGAAAAATACTTGTTGATGCTGCTGTTGTTGTCTTGAATGTTGCTGCAGTTTCATACTTCGCTTGTTGTTGTTAATATTTTTGTTGCTGCTGCTGTTGTTGTTGCTTTGTTGTTGTTGCTGCTGTTGTTG